CAGCACTCCACTGCAACAGCCTCCCTGAACCAAGAGAAGCGATTGCAGCCTAGCCAAATATTCAGCCTAGGAAAAGGTGTCAGACACATAAAATGAAGGTCATAATTCAGACTGGCACCAGTTAGCTACGTCAACAGAAAGTCCAAGGACGGAAGGGAAGAAAACTGAACTAAGTCCCTACTTCCCAGGAGAGAGATCTCGGACCCAAGGAGAGCAAATAAGAGCAGCAGTGTTGCAAGGGCTGGATGCCGTACGGAAATGGAAGGAATCGCGTTTCATCATTAGCAACCCTAGATGGGCAGTCACGGTAAACCAGTCTGTCTCCACCAGCGAGACAGGGGAGCCTGCCCACTAACAGCTCAATCCACAGAAACTCCTCTGCTGAGCCACCTTCTTCAGGATCCCAGCAACTGGAGCTTTAGGGTTTCTTGGGCATTTCACACGCAGTATGTATCTCTCGCATGTTCAGCCCAATACCTACGACTACAGGTCATGTTTTATGCCCCAGCTTTCTAATCTGAAAAATCTCCAAACATCATAAGCAGTAGACTTCATTTACATTTGCAAATATGCACAGCCAAAAAGAGTTGCCTTTATGTACCCAAACACATGTTTGTGAAAAGTTTACAGTACAGGCCCTGAAGATGCTGAATTATTTTTGATACTAAATGGGCTAAATCATCTTTTCAAAAGTATTTTTTAAAAATTCAATTATAATGGATTGCGGTCATGCTAGAAAAAGAGAAGAATCCTGCTTTCGTTCTCTCAAAATCCAGAATCCCCCAAATCAAAATTTTATGAACTGAAAATTCTACTTTCTGTAAATTTTTTTAGTTTTCGTACAATTTTTTCAGCTTCAATATGCAAAATAAAACAAGTTAAGGATAATATATGTTTTTACTGAAGTGTTGTAAAATATTGGAAGAATATGGCTTTTTTCAGTCATAGTTTTGATTCACTATTTATCCCATGTGCAGGCATCCTAGAGAGTATTAAATCAATCATGCACTTGTGGGTTCACATATTTTCCAGACGAATCCAAGTGTCTTATTTTCCAATGGAAAAACTTGTTCATCAAAAAATTTCTTCTGAGAGGCAAAAACTTGACTGTCTTGATCTTCTTTTATCTACCTTTTGAACTTCACCAGAATTCTATAACTGATTTAATAACAAATTACTATTTTTACATTGACATTGAGAACGATACCTTGAGAACCACTCTTGGATCCACAACTTTCTATGTTCCTCTCAAAAATACCTTTGCTGGAATCCAGCATAATTGGACTTACCATGGTGGTGTCTCCATCCACTAGCAAAAACTCCCTAAGCATGTGCATTTTGTATTAAGAGTAAATAACAGGTAAAATCAGCCCAAGATTAAGTTGTATTGAACACAAGCTGAATACCCGGACCTAAAGAACTGGCACTGCTGCATTTGTCTTGAAGCAAAAGTAAGACTTCACAACTAAAATGCCTGAAGACCTACACATCGGTTACCTGGAAGCAAAACCCCTTGCTTTTGGCAGGAGAGTGTAAACGCCTTGCAAAGCCTTTGCAGCAACGAACTTATCTTTCCACATTGCAGACAAACTCCTTTGATTCATGACACCCAGAGACAGCAGGCACTAATAGCGGAGTGGATCGGGGGAAACACGGCGATATACTGTCAGCATTTTCTGCAAGGTCACCTCTGAAAGAATGTTTAACTATAATGAAATTAGAAAGCCTTTCTATAAGCCTCAACAGTCTCAATATTTATTAATTTTTATTATTTTTTTAAGCAATGGCTGCAATGACTAAAGAGCTAAAGGAGCTGAAGAGGAGGGCAAAGCTGCTGCTTTGAAAATTTTACCATTTCAGGTGGTTTCTCTAGAAGGAAAACATTACATTGGAACTGACACAAGTAGCTATTCCACAAGAGTATTTAGTAACTTGTTTCAGTACAGACAGGAAAGGTGAAGTTTTCCCTTTCCACTTCCTCCTGAGGAATGGCACGTGCGATAAGCTTTAGTCTATGGCTCGTGCTCTGTCTGGCATGCAAAAGACCCACGGTGAAAACCCAAGAATAATAATTCTGTCACACTTCAGAAACATTGATGTCTTCTCACAAATGCACAAACTCTCCTTTTTTTCTGATTATAGACTCCAGACCCAAGTAAACAGTATTTCTGAAAATGACAAATGGGCATAGCTAATTAAACTCCGCAGTAGATATCCATGTATTCTGCTTTTCCAGTGAACAATTATCCACAAGAATCGCCAACGTGTAAGAGCAGAGAGAACAAATCAGTTTCCTGCTG